TTCATTGATCTTATATTTTTCATTGACCTTATATTTTTCATTAATCTTATATTTATCATTAACCTAATATTTTTTGTTGACTTTACATTTTTGTTAGCCTTATATTTTTCGTTTTTTTACATTCTTCATTGATCTTGATCTTATATTTTTCACCTTACATTTTTCATTGATCTTATATTCTTCATTGATCTTATATTCATTAACTTTATATTCTTCATTGATCTTATATTTTTCATTGATCTTAAATTCTTCATTAACCTTAAATTCACCATTGACCTTATATTCTTTGATCTTACATTTTTGTTAACTAATATTTTTTATTGATATTATATTCTTTATTGATCTTATATTATTTGTTGATCTTATATTTCTTACCTTATATTTTTCATTGATCTTAAATTCTTCGTTAACCTTATATTCTTCATTAATCTTACATCCTGTATTTTATTGATTTTACATTCTTTGTTAACCTTAAATTCATTATTAACCTTACATTCTTTCTTTATTAACCTTGCATTTTTCATTGACCTTACATTTGTTGCTAACTTTATTTATATTCATTATTGATCTTATATACTTTGTTGATCTTGTTCTACTTTTAAATATTTCAATTATTTATTTGTTATTTGTCTCTATTCTTTTTTTATGAATATTAATACTATTCTTATTCCTAAGAAAGAGAAAACTTTTTCTACATTTGATAAAGCTCGTGCCTTTGTAGAAAATTATGCTGCACAAATCAACATTATTATAATTTTGAGAAAAACTATTAAAAATCCTGATGATAGTTATAGGCAGACATCTTTTGTTTGTAAAAAACAAGGAAGTTACAATAGAACAAATGAAGTATATACTACAAAGCAAACAGGTTGTTTATTTATTATTAGGATAAATTATTGTAAGCATTAAAATAAATTCACTATAATTAGATTATACTTGATATATAATTATAAGATTTATTCGGATGCTAGAAAATTTAGTAGTAATATGTGCAAACTTGATTATAATAAACTGGATATGATTGATAAGCTTAATAATAGTAGGTTTTGAACAAAGGATATCTACACTATTCTAGTATCTGTAAGTTCAAAATATCCGCATAAACATGATATTTATAATGCTGTGAGTCATCAATGACAACAGAAATTGCAAGAATTACATGAGATTGAATTACTACATAGAACTTTGCAAAATGATGAAAATATTATAGCAAATATGGCAACTAAACCTGCATATAATGACAAGCATGATCAAGATGAATTATTTGTTCAAGCAATTTTCTGAGCATATCGAGATGTATTTGCTAAATTCACAGTAGCAAAAGATATATTAATTGTTGATGTAATGTATAAAACTAACAGGTTTTTTTTTATATAAAATTTTAAAGGTTGTATTCATATATTATGTGACTATCTAAATGCTGGTTATATTGAGATTTTAAATTTTATTTTTATATTTGTTATCAAAATATTTCTAATTAAACCAATATCTAGGATATATCAGATTTTTATTTTATTTTATTTTAAAATAAAGATCATATCTGTCAAGAAAACTTCTATACAAGTATTAATAAATTACCCAGTTAATCAGGTAATTTTATTATAGTTATATAATAACATTTTCTATTCAGATATAATCTTTATTTTAAAAAGTATTAATATAACCAGAGTGTATATATATTATAATAGATTATCCAGATAATCCAGATAAATTACCGTATTTTCGTGAAATAATGCCCACCTGTGTGTTATTTTGAATATATATGCGTTATTTCGAGTATGCGTATGGGCGTTGTTTTGAAACAAATATAAAATTTTTAAGTATTTTCTTATATAAAACAAAATTGCTTCAAAACTAAGTTTACTTAGTATCAAACCTAGTTTTGAAGCATTTTTTAATATGACGATAAATAAATACTTCTTACTATAGGGTATGCGTTATTTCGGGACATGCATGGACATTATTTCGAAGCTATATATGTTATTTTTAAGGGTTACAATTTTCGAAATAATGCCCATGCCCGTTATTTTACGAAAATACGGTACTTTAATTTAATTTGATTTAATTAATGAGTAGTAATTTTATTTTTTATTTAATGCAATTTTTAACTTAATTTTATTCTTTATTTAATGCAATCTTTAACTTAATTTTATTCTTTATTTAATGCAATCTTTAACTTAATTTTAGTATCAAAAAATATATACTATTTATTGCTTAATTTTTTTTAGTGAAAGTACTTTTTTGTTTATAGTATTTTACTTATATATCTATTTATTATTATTATTATTAACCAACAGATTTGCCATGCTATTAATTGTTATTTGTACTGTCGACCGATTTGAATTAACATACTCTTTGGCCTTTTTGCTTGTTTATTCTGAAACAAAAGATTTTTATTTCTGGGTATTGCAGCAGTTGTGTAAGGTACTAACTATTTTAATAGGAGATTCAAATGTAGTAATGATAATAACTGATCGAGAGTTGGCCCTTATGGCTGCAATATCTATTGTGTTTTTTAATATAAAACACTAGCTATGCACTTGGCATATTTTTAAAAATATGAGAAACAAGCTCAAAGGTATCAGAATTGATAAATTTACTTGAACTATTTTAAAGCTTGTATATAATAATCTTTTAGAAGATCAAATAGAACAAGAACTTATAGAGCTATGAAATGTTTTTCAATTGCAAAAATATATATATGTGAGATGTTGATGTCTCATAAAGAAAGTTGGCTTGTGGCATATACAAAAAAAATATAAATCTTGATATGAAGTCAAGCCAGCATATTGAAAGCCTATATAGTCAATTAAAAAGTATTAAAAATCATATTACTCTGATTGATAGGTAGGAATGAGATTCATTAATCAATTAATTTGATAGTTAATTTTTTTTTTAAAAAAATTAACTATTTAATTAGTCAATTAATTGGTTAACTAATCAATATATGTGTATATATATTTTTTTTTCAAAAAAAAATAATTACCAATTAGGTTGGACACTTTACTAATAATTTATTACTATTAAATGTTACAGATGACCATGAAATTAGATGATCATGAAATCAAATCCTATTTAATATACGATTTTTAGGTACATTTTTTTGGCATTTTTAGATTTGGACTAGAATTTAAGATTAGTGCTTATAATAGAAGTGTATAGAGGTTTTAGTAGAGTTTATATTTTTAAATTAAGGCTCCAGATTTCACATTCATCTGATTTTACCATTATTCGTGATATTAAATATTATATGAATAATATTGCATATTAGTTTTATTTAATCTCTACTCTTTTTTTACACTGATTATAAAATATTAATTAATTAATTCTTATTTTTATTGAAAGGTTGCTTGTAGTAATTCAACAACAAAATAAAGAACACATCCAAAAGTTTAAATACTAAACATTTTTACATCAAAATAGGCATATGCAAAATGACAAAGATGCAAATCTAGAAAGTTGTATTCAGTATGCTTACAATTTGTATTTGAAATCTATATAAAACAACAAAAAGATCTTGTAATATTAGAAGAATATGGAGTTCTTAAATGCACTAATAATATATATAATATAGTGATCAAGCAACAAGAACATATATGATACAAATTTGAATACCAAATACTTGTATATACTTGCTTCCATACGTACTAGAACTTTATACCAATATATAATTATAGTATACTTACTATATATGCACACTTGTGTACTACAAAATGAGGTTCATAAACATTAGTATATGCTAAATACTAATCGTGTTCAAGATTTTGTTTGCCAAGTTGCTATACAGATTTTCTAAAAGCTACTAGAGTATTACTATAATGATTTAATAAATCTTATACAAGATGCTTCAGAGCATATTTTAAAGGATAGTAAAATATCTAAACTTGAAAATGACTCAAGCACTTTATAGTGGAGCATTTTTAAAATGACTAGCATCAATAGCATTGTGAATTATAAGAAAATTAAGATACCAGAAATTAAGCATAAGTATAGTCATCCTTCTAATAATGGGCATATTCATAGTGCTAATAAAAATATGCTTAAAAAAGCTAAAGTTAAGAAAGAATCTGATAAGAATAATATAACATTATTATACTTATCTGGTTTGAGTCTTGATCTACATATTTCTCAAAATGTAATATTAGAGGTATATATTTTATTAAGTAATCAATATGGTAATTTTTTAGATTTAGTTATTTATAATTACAGAGATTATTACTAAAATTAGTTTTTTATAGTATTTAAATTAATATTAAGTTATTAGATTTATATTAAATTTTATTAGATTATTATTTTTCTTTATGTAATATACCATATTGGCATGTAATAATGCATATAGGTGTTATTTCAAAATTTTTATTTTTTTAAAAATAGTTTTTTGCCAAAATAATGCTATGTGCATTCCAAAATAATACATCCCCTTAAATGTACTATATTATATATTTTGATCAAATTTTCTAGGTTAAGTTCATTATTAAAAGTAGGTCTTCCTTTTGTAACTTGATTTGTCAAAATAATTTGAATTACTATTGTATGCATATTCCAAAATAATGTAAATAATATATTATAATATATTAATATATTACTTATTTTTATATCAATCTATTTTTTCAGGTAATTGGAATAAGTATTAATAACTATAACTATATAGCCATATTATGATCTTTAAATAAGTTATGTTACAGTATATAGCAAGATAAATCTGAGTAATTAGATTAAGTAAAATTTACTAAAAAAAGTTATAAATAACTAATATATATTAATTATATCTTTCAGTAAATTTCAATTACATCTAATTATTCAGAGTATAACTATTACTAGTGATATAGCAATAGTGAAATGTTTTTAAAATTACTTTTCAAAAATAATTTAAATAATTTTAGATATATAATTATAGCTACACAACCCACTTGGTGATAGTTATTTTAGATTTTGATTTCTAGCTGTAGCTATATTCTAAGAGGAAGGCAAATAGCAAGATATCAAGATCACTATGAAGTCTTAGCTGACCAAGTAGCAATATATATATGATAATATACTTGGATATGATACCAGTCGACTAATATCTGTTCTATTATGTTTTCAGCTAAGATATTCACAAGAGTACTAGTTTTATATGCCAAAATATGCTCAGCTAGCATCTGATGTATTTAACATACCAATAGCAGCATTTAGTGAAGATTCTATATCAAGTATTTTGTTTTTGCTATTCAATAAAAAGCTTGGGCATCATAAAAAGCCTATTATTTTGCATTGATACAGAAAAGATCACATCGTATTGGTTAAACTCAAGCAAAATAGGGATATACAAGCTTCATATTTAGACTCTCAGTATATATCTATTTGCTGATGCTTAGGCTTTTTTGAAGATTGGCTCTCTCTTTTTGTATAGACTGTATGTATTGTCTTGCTTTTGTGAATATTTCTGTTCTAGATATGTCATACAAGTTTGTATAATTTATTTGATATGTATTAGCATTGTAATTTAATTCAGTTCTTGGTTATTATAATATAGTAAGTATCATGAAGGTAATATTTATTTATTTATTTATGATTGCCAAAAATCTTATATATATGTTGTACCTCAGATTCGAATAGACATAGAATTGAAATTAAGTTGTGTAAGATTAAAATTTGACTTTGAGATGCATCAAATTAGTTGATTATTTATGCGTTATACTTAAATATATAATATATCATAGAATATATCAAAGTAAAATTATTAATAAAAACTATATTGATAAATTTCTTTGATTTTTTTTGTATTTTGACCAAATTAAATACTACGAAATATTCATTTAATTTACGACAAGCTTTTGACGATTTAGTTAAAAAATATATCGATAATTTGACACCAAACAAAAAAGAAAAAGCCTTAATAAATCAAAAAAAATTGCACAAATCAAGAAAGTTCTTCTTTATTCTACAAATACTAAACTATATACTTCTGCATTTCATTACTGGATCAAAAATAAATTTAAATTACAAAAAATTTCATCTGACTCTTATATTGTACTTCATACACGAACAAAACAAAAAAAATAATGAAAAGGTTGAAATTGAACTTCCCGTATTGGTGGTAGAAAATATGTATGACGAATTTTGCAAAATACACCTACGGTAACTCAACACGAGGTCAAAAAGAGATTTAGAACCAAATTAGTAGTAAATAGAGCTATTGTCAGCAAGATCTTGTTGAATATTTTGTATTACAATGCAATGTATTTGCAACAAGGCTTACAAAAATTTCACTATTAGCCAGAATACCTATTATTGAACAAAAGTTCATATCACGTTTACAGATAAATATACTTTAAATTATATATTAATTTTATGTAATAATTTTAGTATACAGTTTATTAATATAATACTGTATTTAATGGTTAATATATAAATCAATTTAGTCGATATGACTTTTCAGCAAGATAACAAGTTTAAATATATTGCTCATATCACTTTACCAGATACTCATGGGCACATGCATTTACTTCAAAACATTTAGTAGAACTAGCTGCTTTTTTATTTGATATTTTTACAACATTTGGGCCTCTATTAATTCTTCAATCTGACAATGAACGGAAGTTCATTTTTTCAATAATTACTGAACTAATTCGTTTGTGGCCTACGATTCAAATAATTAATGGAAGGCCACATCATCCTGCTAGCCAAGGTTTGGTCAAACAGGCGAATGGAGTTCTTGAAACCAAATTAGGAAAGTGGATGAAAGATAATAAATGGCAAGATTGGTCATTCAAATTAAGATTTATAATTTATGCAATAAATAATTCAATCTGCAAGACACATAATAAAAAGCTTTATGAGCTTGTATTTGGCAGAATTCTGCATGAAGATTCTGTAATTATTGATCAGTTATTTAAGAATAATATTTCTTGTGAAGATGACTTTCTGGATGAATTTAATCAGGAAAATATTCAAGAATCAATTTCTGACTTAGATAATTTGATTCTTGATACTTTACCTACAATTGAGTCTTCAATAAATTCAAATCAAGATTCGAATTTGAATAAAAGTACCGATGACACTATATTAGAATCTTCACATCCAAGTTTGGATAATGATAATCCAAATAATTACAATAATATCTCCATAATTGAATCTAGTTTAAATCAGGATCTGGAAATAGTATGTATACAATTATAATTTAATTATTATCACTATATATAATTTTATTATAATTTATCTATTATATAATTATAAATAAATTTTAATTTAATGTTAATTATCATTATTTAGATTGATACTTCTTTCCAGCACTCTATGTCTCAACCATTACAAGATTTAACAAATCAACAATTAACGGGACATCAAGAATTACGAAAATTTGCTCAGCAAAATTTAGAGGTTTATACAGCAAAAATGACCTCTGCAATGATTGCAAAATCTAAACGGAAGCTAGAGTATGAAATCGGAAAGTATGTAAAAATTCTTATACCCAAAATCGATCGATTTGGTACAGATCGACCTGTACTCCCATGCAAAATTTTAGATAAGTTGAATTATAATGAAACATTCAAATATCGTCTTGGATGTAAAAGTGGCATATTAAATAATTTATATTGCGCAGATGAATTGGAACCATTTGGTGTGAAGGAATACCCAGAGTTGGATAATATTTCAACAGATCATATATCTGTTAGGGAAGCTGCGCAAAATCAAAATAATCATACAGGAACCATGTGCAAGTGTAAAAGCAATTGTAATACTAATAAATGCCGTTGTAAAAAATCCGGAGTTGGGTGTGGAAGCAAATGTCATAGTGGAAAATGTGCAACAATAAAATTCTAGTCTAGATTAAATATAATCGTGCAGTGTAATATGTGCAATATTTGTATGTTGCAACTATTTGAATTATATGCTTTTAATCATCGTATGATGAATTTTATATGTAATATCTATTTTAACTTGACGCACAATAGATAAATCGATTTGACGCATCTCAAAATCAAATTTCGGTCTGAAGCAGCTCAGTTTCAAATTCATGCTTATTCAAATCTCACGCACAACATATATATTTCCAAGTCGGCCAATTAATTAGTTGCCAAATATCGATATAGTTGCAACTAAACATTAAATTTTCACTGCAGAGTTTATCTCGTGTGAGACATATTAATATCATTACTGCAAAATTCTGTAAAATTCTGATAAATGAACTGAATATAATTCACTGTACGTGATCCCAAAAACACAGTACTATTTAAATATATAATTAATATTATGAGTCGTGTAACTGTGGCTCCGGAAGCACGTGTTGAGTTGTGGTAGTCTGTCAACGTCTGTCAACTAAGCAGATCAAAACTGTATGTGATCACTAATATTTAAGCTTATTGCAATTTTTTAACTATCAGTGACATATTTGTATATAAAAACATATAAAATTGGCGCACTTTATTTTAGATGCACAGATTATAATTTTCTTTTTTAGTAGAAGGTTTCAATGCCAATCGACTCTTTCCTATCCTAGTAACAAAGTTAAAAAGCCGCTTTTTACATTGCATTTGAGAAATAATTTTTTTCTTACTTCGTTGTTTGAATGAAATTTAAGCTGCTGGTAAAATTTTTTTTAATCAAATATAAAATTTTGCTCGGTAACTTGCATTGTAGAGCCTTTTATTAATTCGTCCAAAACTTGACATCGAATTTTTAGTTGTAAAAGCCCCGCATCTAAATAATTATCGTTCTAATTAGCATTAAAAAAAAATAAGGATTTACATGAAAAATTGATACAATTGATACAGTACGCAATAGATTTTATATGATACCATACATAGTTTTGATTTACTTAGTTGACTTCCCACCCAACACTGTTGCGTGGTGATCGGTGTGGCGCAAAATCGGTTTTGCGGATGCACCAGGAAAATGTGTACGTACGTACGTATGCTCTAGAAATCACGTGTGTATGTATAGGAGTCAAAAATATTTTTGCTCTTGACATAAATCTAATCATTTTTGACAGTCAAAATCATAAATAATTTAGTATGTCAAAAGTATTATAATATATTAAAAATATTTTAATACGTAGTCGTTTTGATTATCTGTTATAGCGTTATTTACTAACAGCTAAATGAGCATCGCCGCTCCATATGCGGACTCTTCAAGGATTAAACTAGACAAAATACCTACTTTTATAACCAACATCTAGACTTTAAGAACTTTTTTGGAAGCACTTTTACATTCGGAGACATTCGGAGTGTAGGTTTCCAAAAGCATTCGTGATTACCGAAATAATTTCTCTCATCTTTATACATACCGGTATACATGGGTATCTAAATTACTTTTTAAAAAAAGTAATTTCGACAAACATTTCGATATTGTCAATTGTTCAGATGAACTCCACAAAGAAACTGCACGACCTAATGTATTTTGGCATAAAGAATTCAAATAATTTCACTAAAAATTTCGACAATTATGAAAATTAATTTCGCAACTAAGAAAAATTAATTTCGACAGACTAAATGTCGAAATAATTTTTTATAAGTAATTTAGACACCCTTGTATACATACCGGTATGTAGCACAACAAAGATTATTACGAAAGTTAAATCAGTATTTCATAGTTTATTTAAAATATACTTTAAATAATATAGTAACTTATACATACGTAGCTAGGGATTGGAACCGCCTAAAATTTTTTTTAATCGTTTAATCGTTTAACCGTTTAATTTGGCCGGCATTAAAATAATTCTAGCTCACGACAAACATAATTCCGCCCGGAGCTATGGAGCAATTTTTAAACGGTTAAACGGTTCCAATCCCTATACGTAGCAAAGCCAAAGTGTTTGCCAAATTACCTTTTCGAACATAGTTTTGTTACGCACACGTCTATGCATGCATGTATCGAAAGGAATACCGGAATAACCGGTAAGGTCACCCTTAATCGGGAAATTGATCATATCTTTATCACAGTATAAATTTAAAAAAGGGGCATTCTTTATCATGAAAATAATTTTATACCGTATTGTTCACAAAATCGGATAAATCATAGAGATCTGATTGATAGATTCTTATCTAATGTCGGAAATCGGAACGAAGTTGATTAATAATCTAGATAATTGATATATGAATAATTAAATAATCAGTAGAACCAATCAATCATTGGAGAGAATTCCATTGTTAAGCAAATCTTTAACCCTCTGATATTTTGATAATAAGCTAGTATAACAATTTTTCAGGGACAGAAATAGAATATAAATGATAAGATTCAAAGACAAATCGTAACCAGTTTATCTATCAGACTAATTCAAATGGGGCGGTAATATGAGAAAGTGGTATAGTGTTTAAAGTTGTGTATCAATGAACTCATAGTTGATTTATACAATTACGCATCATTCTACGTACATTGTTGAGCATTGCCTTTTTAAGAAAAATTTTGATGGTCATGTCCGGAATAAGAACTTGATAAGTGAGTACCTCAATAGTTATACCGGTACGCCAACGATATTGACATCGTGTACCCTGCTAGTTATGTGAAAACTATTGTTAACACAACACATTTCAAATATAGCATAAATCCTCACTCTCAAAATAAACATTATATTATTATTTTCTGTTACGTTCGTCCACTTTTTAGATCAAACAAACTTTTAGTTAAGGATGAGTATGGACCAATACATTTTCGTTCATGATACCATAGCTAGTTCAACCTCGCCTCAAGGTAATAAGGAATTATTTATAAAGACCAAGAAAAGTTAAATCAATCAAGTTTGTTCAATTAACAGGCGATTCAACTGATTCAACAAACAATGGTTCAAGCATCGTTATGTCATGCCCCGCCGGACTCGATTTATCTTCTTATGACTTTAATCTTCATTTGATTTCTTTTTTTGTGGTTCTTGTAACCAGTTCCTCTGGTAAAGGAAAAAATTTTTTAACTGTTTCTATATGCCATATAAAAATACATGTGTGTAATATATATCGAAACGACCAATATACTCAAAAATGTGTATACCGAGACGTGAAAATAAATACATATAGTTGTATTAATTCAAAGATCGATCACGTTCCGAACATTTTTTGATGAAAAAATTTTTTGTAGATATTAATATTCATGAAATAATTATCACTTTTCTATCAATAATAGGTGCATTAATTCCGGTCGCCTCAAAAAGACTTCCTGCATTGAGGATTCCACCTGCAGTATTCTTTAGTAAATATAATTCTATTATCTTACATAATTTACTAAAAAATTTACAATTTTTTTTTCGGAATTAATACAGTTACCAAACATTTTGGGACTGGGGTAATACTTGCCACGGCTTTCGGTATGATATCTGTTATGAATAGAAAATTTAAATATAATAAATTTTTACTAATGATTTTATTTATAAGTGCATATGTTACCGTCGGCATTCTTGAGCTTACAATGCGTAGAGTCATTATCCGATTACAGAGCTTGGCCAGGTGCAATCGCAATGATTGCTTCAGTAGTTATTTTTTTTATCGAATATATTTCTCTGAATTATATTGAAAGTGCCAAAAGTGATTATTTACCTATTGACAATAACAATGATCCTATTTACGGAAATTCTGAAAGTCTACTACCTGCGGGAGGCCTTGACAGAAATTCTTTATTAACAATCGATGCCCAAATTATGGGAATTATTATTTTGGAAATCGGTATTTGCATTCATTCAATAATTATTGGATTGGCATTGTCGGCTTCAACTGGATCTGACTTTATTTCACTGTGGGTTGCCTTGGTCTTTCATCAGGTATATATATTTATATTTATTTATACCTGATCGTTGCTATTGAACAGTTACATAATATTAATATGAGCTTAGATGTTTGAAGGACTTGGTTTAGGATCTCGTATTGCCGAACTCAATTATACTGAAAGCAGTATTAAACCATGGTTGATGTCATGTGCATATGGCTTAACAACCCCGATAGGTATTGCCATAGGTCTAGGCGTTCATGGAACTTACAATCCTGCTTCACAAACGGCACTCCTCGTGCAAGGAATTCTTGATTCAATGTCTGCCGGAATTCTTTTATATACTGCTTTAGTTGAACTTATGGCTAATGACTTTATATATAATCCTGAATTTCGAAACTCTTCCAAGATCAAACAGCTTGCTGCCTTCACATGTTTGGTAATTGGAATTTCCCTTATGGCTTTGATTGGTATGTGGAACTCTATCAATTATCTGTAACATTCAAAAATAAGTTTATCGCATGTTAATTTGACTTTTTTTTTTTGATCCAGGTCTTTGGGCATGATTACATCAATATCATTTTGATATTTTGATATGAATACCTTAATCCTCAATATTTTTGTTCTTATATTCACTCATTATCATAGAAGTAAAAAATAAAGTCTAACGAATATATTACCTTTGCTATATATTAAGATTTCCCTTTTATATGTATAAAAAAGAGTGAAAATTAATAGTAAAAAATGGTGATACTACCGATAGCAAAACTAAGGGATTCGGATCATTCATTGACAATAACCTCTCTAAATATTCAATTATGACGCCTTGTGATTACAATGTCATATGAGAATCGGAGAGAGTTTTATCCATTTCAAATAATAATGAATCGAAAATATGATTTAGAAACCTTCCTCAAAAATCTTGAAAATTAATAGTTAAAAATCCATAGCAAAATTAAGGTGGATTCGGATCATTCATTGACAATCTTCTTCTAAATATTCAATTATTGCGCCTTGTGATTACAATATCATACAAGAATCGGAGAATTTTACCCATTTCAAATAATAATGGATCGAAAATATGGGTACCTCGTTATAAAAGGGTTCATTTTGACAATTTTCAGAATTGTTTTTATTTGCAGAAGCTAACTATATAATAAAAAGAGTCACAAAATGACAAAAAAATTTGGTTGTTTTCTATTTTTACTTAAAATTGTTTATGTCAAAATGGGCCCTTTTAATACGAAGCACCCCATATGATTTGAAGTCACATATTTCTGCAAAGCCTCCGATTTATTTATTTTACTGAAACATTGACAATCCTCTTACAGAGAGATGCAAATCTATATCGATTATTTTTGGTTTAATTATTATGCAAGTCAATCGTACTGTTTTGTTTCACTATTTTTATTGACAGAGTAAATTTGGATGGTTATTTCGCAGATGATAAATTTTCTAATAGCTAAAGTTCAAACGAAAAGTATTGGTTATATAATTCGTCTTAAATATTTTACAAATTAATACAAATATAGTATTTTACAAAAGAATACGCACAATATTGAGTGCGATCGTTTACCTCGCGAAACACACAAGAAATTCTAGATTAAATTAATTTTTTTTATTTCAGCAACATCGCACATCGTGAAATAAAGGGGTAGTAAGGCATCAGAGTGTCCAGCTATTTCTAGCATCTAAAATAGCGCTATTTCTAGCAAATTGCTAGAAATAGCTAGCTACATTGTTTTTTTGCTAAGATGCGAATTTTGCTATTTCCTTTTGTCCGTGAACAATTAGAAACTTTTGAATCAATAGAAATATCAGCCGGATTCAAAGCAGGGCTAAAACGAGATATATTAAATGCATCATATCAAAATTTCATCAATTGTTGAGACAATATATATCAAGAAAGATACTTTAAATAAAAGGCAGTGGCACAGTAAATGGCCACTATTCACTATATTCTCGTGATTGCTAATTTGCTATTTTTTCTATTTTTGCTAGCTATTTTTGCTAGATATTTCGACTATTACTAGCTGGACACTCTGTTACGGCAGTAATGTTTTAAGTGGAAATAGAATTTAAATGAATTTGGATTCCCTCGTTAAATAAGAGTTAGGGTGTACATATGAGTGCTGCCAAGGGAAAAGGCACCTCCGTTTTTTAATCAATTATTGATTCAATAAATGATTAAAAAACGGAGGTGCCCTTTTCCTTTGGCAGCACTCATATGATAAAATCAACCTAAGTCAGGGTTTTATATATAAATTCCTAATCCATTTAAATTCCATTTCCACTTACAACAGTAACACCGGAAGTTTGGACGCACCATGACTTTTTTTTTGTACAAAACCCGCAACTTAATAATAAGGTACAACTAAAAAAGTTTTTAAAATAAGATGCAGCCCAGAACTATTAATAGTATGTAGCAAGGGTTGACTTAATAATAAAATAAATTTAAATAAAATTTATATATTAAGCATTATCATTGTCTAAAATTATTTAAGGCATTAATTTTATTTAAATAATTACAATTAATGTCGCGATTGAAGCTGGAAATTAAGGACCTCGATTTGAAAATATAAACCCTACCAAAATCCACTTATACATTTTTATTATCAAAACTAACCCTAAATCCTGAGCTAACAATAAAAAAAAAAGCCAAAAAAATGTACCCAAAAAAATTTTGAAAATTCATATTAAAATATTTAAAATTTCCAGCTTCAGCCACGACAATTAATATCCTTTGTACAGCACTAGAGATGAAATTTTTTGTATTTTCGATATGTTTTACATTAATTTATTGTAATTCACTTTATTGTAAAGTTATTCACCATGCCCATAAAAGCGAAAAAATACGTGGAGTGAATATTGGAGGATGGTAATTCATTTTAACTTTTAAGTAACGACTTGAATTTCTTGATTAAATGCATGATTTTATTTCATTTTATTACGTAAGGTTGGTTTTAGAACCATGTAAGTATTATGATCATAATTATTGTAACGGAATTGTAAATGTCAATAACGATAATGAATTCTTGAGCAATTAATATAGTAATAATAATTTTTAATGGTATAAATTTAAAATATTAAAAAATTATCAATTGTTTCAGAATTTTTTATAATTATTAAATTGGATGTTTGAAACGACTATCTATCACCATATTTTAGTTAGCTCTTAAATCATTGAAATATACAATGTAGTCAGACTTCTCTAAATACATTGTGGTAAAAATTTAGTCAAAGGTGTATTCAGAGAGATATTATATTATTTGGGCCCAAATTAAGACATGCATTTAAGGGGTTTTCATAAGGCGTGCATTTAGGGTTGCGTTTAAAAGGTGCCTGACTGGATTTAATTAATGTTTTAAATTTGATATTGTATTTAATTAATGTTTTAAATTTGATATTGTAATTAATTAATGTTTTGAATTTGATATTGTATTTAATTAATGTTTTAAATCTGATATTGATTGATTGACTATATTAAACCTTCTATGATTTGGGAATATTTTAATTATTTACCAAATTTCGGTCTCAACAAGTTGTATTTAGAGTGTGTTGGACTGCATATATTCGGGCCAGGGTTTAGAATTGCATTGGTAAATGCAGAAATGCCTAAAAATTCAACAATTTCCTATTAGTAATTGTCTAGTAGGTTAGTAGTGCCATAAAAAATCGGCAGTCACGTGATAATGTTTGATTCAAAAATTTATCTCTACATATAAGTTAGTGGCTATATTATGG